TTTTCTTCTTTTTAAATATTTCCCAAATTATGTTTAGCAGAGCAAGGAAATTTTCACAGTGTGTCTGATAATATTTTTTCTTCTGGAAAAAGTATTATTTGTTTTATTTTGGCTAAAATAAAAGCAGTTTTTAATTTCTTAAAATACATTTTTGGGACAAAATTATTAGCCCCTTTAAGCTATTTTTTTTTTCGATAGTCTACAGAACAAACCACTGTTATACAATAACTTGCCTAATTACCCTAACCTGCCTAGTTAACCTAATTAACCTAGTTAAGCCTTTAAATGTCACTCTAAGCTGTATAAAAGTGTCTTGAAAAATATCTAGTAAAATATTATTTACTGTCATCATGGCAAAGATAAAATAATTCAGTTATTAGAAATAGGTTTTTAAAACTATTATGCTTAGAAGTGTGCTGAAACAATCTTCCCTCCATTAAACAGAAATTAGGGGAAAAAATAAACAGGGGTGCTAATAATTTAGGGGAGTTAATAATTCTGACTTTAACTGTATGTGTGTGTATTTATGTATATGTATCATGTAATGTTTTATTCTTTACTTAATTTTAATTACAAAAAACAACTATGGTAGGCACTGCAACTACTCAGACTGGGTTAGCCATCACCCTAATTAAATAAAGGTTTTGTTAATTATTACAGAAGAAATAGAAGATGAGTTCTTCAACATGTAAACACAGTCAAATCTACAGTAATACTCTGAGCCACATGGTGGCAGCACCGACATCACAAACACCTCAAATCAATATCAACTCAGGGTGAGCAGAAGACTGAGGTGTGGCAGATGCACTATCGCAGCTTACATAGGCCTATCAATAAAACACTAGTAAAATGATTTTAAAAAAAGCATTAAAATACAGTCGCAATTATATTCTACACATTTTAAACTTGGATTTACCTGTTTATGAAGACAAGGCGTGATGTCCATCCTTTAGAGAACAGAGATGGCAGCTTCTCATTTTGGTGTAGAGACAGCGGCCCCTTGTGACCAATCAGCGTATTTCTCTGCTTTCCACCCATTCATTATTTCACGCATGTCTGTGTTTTGTTGATAACAGTTCAGTGATGAAATGATCTCATATTGCACTTTATTCCAGAGTATGTGACTTAATGGAGATTCAGTTCCATTCCAGAATTGATTGATCGCGTTGTGGCTCTCTACTTAGACAAGAAAATCTGTTTTCACCAGTTCACAAAATCCAGCAGGATCTTCCGTCAAACCGACCTACAAACAGTCTTGCAGATTATTTAAAACAAAATGCAAATAAATAAATAAAAATTATATATATATATATATATATATATATATATATATATATATATATATATATATATATATATATATATATATATATATATATATATATATATATATATATATATATATATATATATATATATATATATATATATATATATATATATATATATATATATATATATATATATATATATATATATATATATATATATATATATATATATATATATATATATATATATATATATATATATATATATATATATATATATATATATATATATATATATATATATATATATATATAAATAAAAAAAATTAACGATGCCATGGCAACAATAGACCCTATCGTCGCTATGGAGATTGCATCACTACAACGTGATTAGATGTATCCAGTGGAAAGCGCTCGGTCTCTGTATGGCAAGCCGCTTTAACATTCAACCGCTATATTTTTATAAGTTAATTTTTATTTACTAGTGTCTTTTGCATTAAATTGTAGTGCTTAGTTATTACCCACTAGTGCTTCTTACTTGATATAGTACTTATTTGTTTCATAACCAATGCCTGTGAAATAGATTAACTTGTTAATTAAGTTGTTCACACTTATATACAGTGGAGGAAAAAATAATTGAACACGTCATGTTTTTTTTCTTCTGGGAATTATATTTGTAGACGAGCTGTTGCAATGGAATTATACCAGGTTTTGGTAAAAACGCAAACAATTTAAACAAAAAAAATCAGATCTGAAAATTAGACACAATGGAGAATCTACTGAACTAACGAAATGCATTTAATACTTCATATTCAAGGCTGTTTTAGGTGATGTTGAGAATGAAGTAACATACATGATTTGTTTTCAGACTTCAACAAAGTGTAAAAATCTTAATGGTTTCCGTGGGTGTCTATCAAATCTGATTTTTATTTTTTATTTTATTACAAATAACTCATTTTTGTAAAGTATCTGGTTTTCTTGTCTTTGCATATACAGTTGAAGCCATAATTATTAGTCCCGCTGAACTATTAGGCCGCTCGTTTATTTTTTATGTAAAGTTTAATACACATTTTCCTTATTCTAAAATTATTTTAATTAAATAATATGTTTCCTTACTGCGTTTATTTTGCACTTTTGCATCAAATTAAGATTTTCAGTTCTTTAGCTGACTGTGATGAAACACTTGTGCCTGTGCCTAGCACTGGAGATTTGTTGCTTGTTCCTGGTGTACAGTACCTGTACCAAACCATAACACCAAAACTGAGGCACATATCGAACTGTGACTTTGGTGTACAGTTACATGTACAGTATATACAGTTGAAGTCAGAATTATTAGCCCCCCTTTGATTTTTTTTTTTTTAATATTTCCCAAATTATGTTTAACAGAACAAGGAAATTTTCACAGTATGTCTGATAATATTTTTTCGTCTGGAGAAAGTCCTATTTGTTTTATTTCGGCTAGAATAAAAGCAGTTTTCAATTTTTTATGAACCATTTTAAGGTCAATAATATTAGCCTCTTTAAGCTATTTTTTTCGATAGTCTACAGAACAAACCATTGTTATACAATAACTTGACTAATTACCCTAACCTGCCTAGTTAACCTAATTAACCTCCCAGTTAAGCCTTTGAATGTCACTTTAAGCTGACTAGATATTTTTCAAGACACTTCTATACAAATATTATTTACTGTCATCATGGCAAGGAGTAAATAAATTAGTTATTATAAATGAGTTATCAAAACTATTATGTTTAGAAATCTGTTGAAAAAAATCTTCTCTTCGTTAAACAGAAATTGGGGGAAAATAAACAGGGGGCTAATAATTCAGAGGGGCTAACAATTCCGACTTTAACTGTATATACACACATTTCTTTCTTTACTTTTTTTTTGCCATTTACAGTTAGGTAAAACTGATTTGTGACTGGTACATATTTTAAAGTTACTCTGTTTTTGATATCATCTCTATAATAATTTCTGACAATTTTAGACCATTTCTGACACAATAGCAACAAATGCATATACTGTGTGTGTGTGTGTGTGTGTGTGTATATATATATATATATATATATATATATATATATATATATATATATATATATATATATATATATATATATCAATCACTTTTGAGACTTCATAAAATATTTTAAGTAATTATTAATTGTCTAGTATAATTTATTTGATAATGTTATGTATATACAGTACTAGTCATTCCTTACTAGTACTTATTTAATATTATTGCAATTATTACTAATACACTGTAAAAAATATATATGATCAGTTAGTCCTGAAAACATATGTTTTTAGGTTATTGTAACTTAATAAACTAAGTTAATCATGTTTTAACTTAATTTCATAAGTTACACAAGCTGTTTAAAGTCAGTTTAACATAATTTAAGTTAAATGGACTCATTCGTTCATTTTCTTTTCAGCTTAGTCACTTTAATAATACAGGGTCGCCACAGCGGAATGAACCGCCAACTTATCCAGCACGTTTTTATGCAGCGGACGCCTTTCCAGCCACAACCCATCTCTGGGAAACATCCACAAACACCCATTCACACACACTCACTACGGACAATTTAGCCTACCCAATTCACCTGTAGCGCATGTCTTTGGACTGTGGGGGAAACCGGAGCACCTGGAGGAAACCCTTGCGAACGCAGGGAGAACATGCAAACTCCACACAGAAACACCAACTGAGCCGAGGCTCGAACCAGCAACCCAGCAAGCTTCTTGCTGTGAGACAACAGCACTACCCCCGATTTAGCTTAACAATGTAAGGCAACCAGGATTTTTTACAGTGTAGTTCTCATCTAACAAGGCAAACCTTGTTTGCTTCCTTATGTTTGTGTTATAAATAGTTTGGATGGTCGAGTAGAAAAAACGTACAATTGTACTAGTTATATAAGAAATCTAAAAACAATTTTAAAAGCACTATTTTAAAAAAAATGTGTGATAATATATACTAAATACAAGTACAAATAAATATCTTATATATAAATATTAATATAAAAATAAGCACAAGTGTCTTATAAAAAAGGTGCTACTGCTTATTAGCACTAATAACCATTGAATAAGTACTAGCACTTAATGGAAAACATACTAGTACTTAATATACTAGACTGCTTAATAGAAAATAAATACTATAACATGAAGATAAATTAATATACACAGCAAACTCAAGTTAATGAAACAATGAAATGATAAATTAGGTGATGACTGATAATAACAATACAGAAACAAAGAACAATAACCGACTTCAGTCGCAAGCAGATGAAATCCGCTGAAATATAATACATTAAATCTCAAAATCTCAGCAGAGGATCTTTAAGAAACTCCACAAACAGCAGCTTTACTTATTACAAATTTGGTAATACAGAGCAAGTTCTCTCTGAACTGAGGATTTTGCTGTGTAGATCAAATGTTAAATTGGCTTGCCGTAGTCTCTACAGCTTGGCATAGTGCTTTTAACTGACAAAGCAAAAGTTCAGTTAGCATCTTTTGCGTCTTTCACTGGTTGATATGGAGTGAAATTTTGACAAGTAATCAACATAATTGAACACAAAATAAGTCATTCTATGACACTGCAACAAGTGATATGTAATATGAGCTATTTTTATAAATATTATATATATATATATATATATATATATATATATATATATTAAATTATATATAATATATATAATTTAAGACAATTAATGATAGCTTTAAATAGGCTACCTCTTCTTTAATTAAAACAAGTGCTTCCCTTTCTATTCTGGTTTGAGTACACCAGACTAATAGCTAATAATTTGTCCTCAACATATACCGTTTTTTGTTGTAAGCTACTTTAACCTGATTTTAGTCAGTGATGCAGTCATTTCACTGGTAAACTACTCATTAGATTTCTTATTAGTGTTTATTACACTTTACTTCGTCATTTCAAAATTAAGAATTAGCAATTTGAGACAATGAATTAGTTTATAATAATGTAAGCAAATGATTAATGGAGTAGATATTACAAAAATAATACTGCTAATTCAGGTTTTAAGAACATTAAAAATACCATGTTTCATTGAACAGTTGAATTGGGTAAATAAAAAAGAGGAAAGTTGTTTTATGGGGATATTTTGCACATGTGATATTGATAGCTATTCATTTTTCAGTTATGTATTGATGCTGGCACATATTCCATTTTACTAGTAACTAAGCTTGCATCGGCTGCTTAAATTACAGGTATAACTTGTCAAATGAAATTGCTAGTCAGAATTGCTATTTTATCAAAGCAACAAAAATAGTAGTATATTAGTCCAATATAATTAATTGGCAAAACATAATTGCCTATCAAATTAGTTTCGTTACTATAAAATGAGATACTGTTGTTTTAAAATTAATCAAATGTGCTATTTGTATTTTATTTGTAATCATGCACGAATTTATTATAATTGTTTTTGTTCACCAGTCACTGATATCAGTCCTGAAAATTTGTAACAATCCTTATGTCAAAGTCGCTACTAATTATGGTAAAAAAAAAAAAAAAAATATATATATATATATATATATATATATATATATATATATATATATATATATATATATATATATATATATATATATATATATATATATATATATATATATATATATATATATATATATATATATATATATATATATATATATATATATATATATATATATATATATATATATATATATATATATATATATATATATATATATATATATATATATATATATATATATATATATATATATATATATATATATATATATATATATATATATATATATATATATATATATATATATATATATATATATATATATATATATATATATATATATATATATATATATATATATATATATATATATATATATATATATATATATATATATATATATATATATATATATATATATATATATATATATATATATATATATATATATATATATATATATATATATATATATATATATATATATATATATATATATATATATATATATA